AAACCTTCAACCAATGAAAAACTGCGTTCCGGACGAAGTATGGCATTCTTAGAATAAAAGTATACCGTGGATATATTTACTCAGGAAATCGATATGATAGTGGCGTCACTGACAATGACAACGGAACGAGAGGAAGTGATAGATTTCGTCACGCCCTACTTCGACCAATCGGGATTATCGATCGGTATGAAAACATGCGAAAATTCCAAATCCGGACACGTACGGTGAAGTTCAAATTTCATCGCCCGTTTTCTCCCACAGTCGTCCGGAAACGTGTCCGTGAGACCGACCTGTTCCAGTTCATGTCCGTGCTCAAGTGGGAAGTCTGGATGAGCATGGTGGGCGCTATGTTCGCCACGGGGCTCCTCATTTGGCTCCTGGATAAGTACAGTCCTTACAGCTCTAGAAACAATACCGACTTCTATCCCTACGAATGCAGGTGATTCGAAAAAAAAAAAGCGGGGGAAAATTTTTTTTTCTCACGTATTGTCCAGGAAGCATAGCCGATGCAAGCATTGATAACGATGAGTTTTTCACAGGAGATTCACGCTTCAAGAAAGTATTTGGTTCGCCTTGACTTCTTTCACACCGCAAGGCGGCGGCGAACCACCAAAGGCTCTTTCTGGAAAAATTCTGGTAGCTTCATATTGGCTCTTTGTGGTCCTGATGCTTGCTGCTTTCACGGCAAATCTTGCCGCCTTTCTGACAGTTGAAAGGATGCTGGTTTGTTTTTTTTTTCCTGAATACAAAGCAGACGGATGTTAAACTCCCTCTTCCTGTTTCAGGACTCTGTTCAGTCGTTGGAGGAGCTGGCGGAGCAGTCTCAGATAAATTACACGTCAGTCGAGAGCTCGAGCGTTTCCCAGTACTTCGTGAACATGGCAAGCGCAGAGGAGGAACTCTACAAGTACGCTATCATTCATACAGATTACCGTCAGCTGCAAACATTTCGCGTTCGTTTGAACATGCTCCTGATAAACCCAGTGCACACTTCAGAACACAAAGCAAAGATTGTCAACGAATATTTACAGCCGTCATCATAGGTTATCCCGAAATAATCTTCATCGACTGGTCAGAAGCGCATGGCCTTTGACACTCCTTCAGATTCAGCTGCAAAAACGATGATCAATGTGTCCTCAACGTAATTTTCCGACTTCGTATGATTATTCTTTTCTTTGGATTGCGTAGAATATGGAAGGAAATCACCCTGAATGCCAGCGCTGATCAGGCCAAATTTCGTGTCTGGGACTACCCAATTAAGGAGCAGTACTCACACATCCTGAGGGTAATGAACGCGACTGGCTTCGTTGCTTCTCGTGACGAGGGATTCCGAAAGGTACTTCAACATTTATTGCGATGCCACGCATTTTCAAGTGGCAAACAATGATCCATAAATTATCAGTTCTTTACTCCGTCGACCAAAGTACAGTACAGTACTGATTAAAGGAAGTAATTGCACTTTCTTCAACCTGCAGTATGTGCGTAGAACCCACAAATTACAAGCCGACATAACTTTATCGAACTACAGTACACGGATGTCTTAATTAGAACAATGCGTGTCCAGAGAAATTATCGAGAAGACAGCCCACCAATCAGATACTCGGGCTAATCCTCCAATTACTTAATTATATCGGCGAATAACCTAGAAATTAACAGATTAATACGCCTAATGTCCAGAACGCACTAAAGTAGTTGACGCTTGAACTCACCATGTCGAAGATTGATTTAAGACACGATTTTATCAACAAACAGTAACTGTGCACTCAAATTAAATACTAACAGCAGGTACAGTCTCTAGCTTTGAATCGGACTTCCTCTTTTTTCTTTACTCAAGAAGATCACAAGGAAATTAATTTTGATCAAAAATCTTTCAGAATATAGCGGGACACTTTTTAATTCTATCCGAAATCTTGAAAGTCACCATGTTCAGACGCAGAACTGATCTTTCCCGGGTACATGTTCATTTTTAATACCTGTTCATTATTAATTTTATCCGGAGTATTTGTATAAAATGTCCTATTTGTTTTCTTATTAAAAATATTATATACTGTATATATTGACAGTGGAGTCCCTATAACGAACTGTTTGAGGAGTCCCGAGAGGTTCACGACTAACCCTCTCAATATGCATATTAGGAACCCACGTCTGTATTTGGGTACGGTATTTTGCGTGCAGGGGTTGTTGAATAAGAGGGCTGCAGATCGCGTAGGTTTTAAGGAATAGGTTAATTTCGAATACATCATTTACTGTTCATCCAAGTAGGATGAGGAATTATTTTCAATGAACGAAATAAATTCCTCGCCGCGGAGACTTTATTCTGTTGACATAACGGGATGCCAGCATCACCGCGAAAGCAGCATTCACTGAAAGTCGTGGCCAGTGACTCATCGTGGCATTGTCTCCGCATTCTCACGCAGGTGCGGGAAAATACGCGGGGCGAATTCGCTTTCATTCACGACGCGTCTGAAATCAAGTACGAGGTTTACAGAAGCTGCAACTTGACGGAAATCGGGGAGGAGTTCGGGGCCCAACCGTACGCCGTCGCTGTGCAGCAAGGATCCAGCCTCAACCAAGAAATATCTTCAATGTGTGTTACCATAATCTAAATTCAGCATACTTCAGTAATTTAGTTAGCGTCAGTCGCATTTCTTTCAAGAAATATTTTGAGGTTTTTTTGCGTATGTTTTTTTGTTGTTGTTGTTGTTGCAATTTTGTGCTTCCGTTGTTGGAGCCGTGTTTGGAAAATACTTCACATATCATGGAGTATAGAAGGCATTCTACGACCTTCTCTCTTCCAATTGCTACTCACACCAAATTTAAAATTATGGAAAAAGCGAAGGTTTAAAATTAATTTTGCAGTAGTGAGCTGGACAAGAGATTCTTTGGCTACTTCTCGTCAGCACATTTTCATGATTTAGCGATTAGTTCAAATTCTATTGAATGATGCATTTCAAATCATTTTCAAAACTTTAGCTTAAGTGGTCCAGAACTAAGAATCATCACGCGATCAAAACGGCGTCGTATTTCGTAATTTTTGAGTTAGTGATTTGAATGTAGTCTTAGAATGTGCTCTGATTAGCTATAAGAAGGTGCCCATAAGTCAAAACTGAACTTGAAGGAAATGTTACAGAGCCTTGCTTCGAGTCCTTTCATTCACTCAGGGTGATCTGGATTCCGGAGTAATCTTTTAGAAATTTCATCATTCAAAAATGTTATTTAAAATGGCAGCGAAAAAAAATTTCAACCATCCCTCACGTATTTTTCTTGAACTTTCTTCCCTCGAGGGCTGTCTGGATCTTCATGCTGGTTTCGCCTTACCTTTGAACCTACTAACTTTGATATAAACGAACCCACACTGCACTCCAACAACGTATGACGACCTGCACAATTCAAGTGACATCTATGTGACATCCAGAAAAGATAGTGATGGAAAAAGCACACTTTATTTCCGCCTACCTCATCTTGGTCGTTAAAAACGGAAGTTTGATTAATGGCAGCAATAACTTACTGTAAAAAGACAGTACTTTGCTGTATATTGTAATATAAAGCCAGGAGGGATATGGTTTTACTGTACTGCATAATACAGTATTTGTTATCATAACTTTATTATTTGTTTTGTTGGCATATGAATCACCTTGTTGCCAAGGCATCCTCAAGCTTCTCTATATACTGTAATTATTAGTACTCGAGCAATTTTATGAATTCAGTTTGAATTATTCACAAGGAAATGCTGACCTTGAGGCGTTTGTTCTTAAGGATTCTGGAACTGCAGAAGGACAGGTACTTCGAAACCTTGTCGGGGAAGTACTGGAATGCGTCGCAGAGAATAGATTGCGACGACGATGAAGGAGAAAGCGGGATAACATTGAAGAGCTTGGGCAAGTGGAGCTGAAGTGTTTTGTATTCTTTGAAGATGCGTTATCTGTTGTTCTAAGTCAAACCATCTTAAGCATGTGCATTTTTTCGTTTTCAGGGGGAGTTTTCATTGCAACTGGCTTCGGTTTGGCGTTCGCAATCATCGTCATGATCCTGGAAATTCTTTACTTCAGAGACCCAACGAAGGGCAGGAAGCCGGAGAATCAGATGGTAACTATTTGCTAGGAAAGGCTATTTTATTGTCGATGATGATGAAGTACAGTATCATGTCTGTTTTATCATTCCGGTAGAACGAAGAACCCCGATTGAAGGAACCCACCTACTTCACAGATAGCGACTTGACTCGAAGTCCAATAAAGAAGGGCGTCGTTTCGTCGAATTACCCGTTTCCTGACTGGCAGAGAGTGCAAAAACTGGGACACAAAATCGGCCAATGACGACCTCTAAAATTTATATATTTTTTTCAACGAAGGCGGGTCTCCGTTGAAAAAATCACGAAGTCTTGATACTGTATCCGATGAGCACCAACGAAAGACGAAAAAAGTTCATTTAACTCACAATTGCGCAATTTATAGTACAGTAATAGAATTGTGATGACATCAGAAGTCAGTCATCTCGGCATTTTTTTTATTTCGAAATTCTCGATTTGTAAAATTGGTGTTCGAGTAAAACAAAATGAAATACTGTACTGCAATACATTGTATCCAGAAATTGGGAGTGATCCTGTTCGATTAGTAGAATACGATGCTCTAAAAGTCTAAATGAGTATCCTTCGATCCTAGCAGCATTGCCTAATCAAACTTTTCACGGCTTGATTTGGTGCCTCGGGCATATAGTACGTGCATTAAAACTTAGCCAGTGTTTACTTTCTCCACATGCTCAAATTTCATGGGAAACACTACTTTTTACATTTTTTTCTTTCTTGCTGCTGTCGGAAAACAACGCAACGACGGAGAGCGGGAGCGGAGCGCCTCGGCGTCGTCAATCTCTTCACTTGAAACGATAAGAAATGTTGCGTAAACAAGCTTCAGTCACTCACCAACACCCATGACGATGTCACATGCTTGATATTTAGGATGACTTTACGGCTCATTCTTGCATAAGATGAAAAAAAACCAGAGACATGATAAGAATGCCGCTTTATTGCGCTCAAGAAAAAAATACTGGTTTTAATCGACAGTGCTTTACACAAAATACGAGGCAAATGAATGTATGGAGAAAAAACAGTTGTGATACACATACGACGTCAGCGTTCGGTTAGAATTATTTCAAAGGGAGCGGGTCGACGTGCAATTGGGTCCCCATGATTCCCCTTCATATTTGGGACAAATCCTTTGGGGAATTCGATATTGAAATTCGCAAGAAGATATGAGATGAAGATGAATACTTCCATGTATGCTAGCTGCTCTCCGAGGCATCGTCGCTTTCCTGAAAAATGGGGAAGCGGGGGAACTCTAATTATTAAAAATATGCGTATGGAATAAAACTTACCGGCTCCGAAAGGCAGGAAACTAGGGTTTTGTTTCTTCACTAATTTCCCTGATTCCAAAAATCGCGTGGGATCGAATGCTTCTGGATCCGTCCAGTGTTTTGGGTCGCGATGAACAGCATTCAGGTTCGAAACAATCCAAGCCCCCTTTTGGGTTTTTTGGAATATTAATGCATTTCCCCGATAATATTTAAAAAGTAGCCCCGCCGGAAAGTCTTCTGAATTAAGCTGTCTATAGGTTCTATTCACTATACAAATAGTTGGTTTCGAAGTCAACTAATTTTCGTGTTAGCGCATGGCGAAGTTGGTTATTCAGTTGCACATGAATTGGAAACACGAACAATGGAGATTTTAGGCCAAAATTTGCTCTTAGCGAAACATTAATTTCTTGAATTCTGTAAGAATGCCCTGTTTTGAAACGACACTTGAACCCCATGTGTATTAGAAAAGAAAACAAAGTTTTCAACGAGCATTTTTTATTTTCCGGAATACCAAATATAAATCGAGGACAATGTATAGGCTTACCTTCGGGATTAAATATCCTCGGAATTCCGTGTCTGCTGATGCGAAATGAGGAACTCCCAAAGGAATAACGTCGGCGAATCTCTGAATTTCTTTCACCGTCGCCTCCAAATAGGGTAGCCTAAAATCCAAGCAGGAAATTTATGCCATAAGCACATCTTTGAAAAAAATTTGCAGAAGTACCTCGGTTTATCGTGTTCCCAGGACGGTAGCCGATCTTTCCCAACAATTTCATCCAATTCCTCTTGGCATTTGTTTTGCACATCACGATATTGGGCCAGCAAAATGAACGAATAACGCAGTGTTGTAGCAACCGTCTCAGTCCCAGCAGCAAACAGGCCAGTAATAACTGCTGACAGGTGTTCATCTGGTGCAACGAAAACTTTTGTTCTTTTTTTCCAAGTTGACTAGCAAAATTAATGAATACCTGAAAAGGGTTCAGCATCCTGAGGGTTTATAGCTCCTCGCCTAATCCGCTCAGAAATATAATCATCAGTTACATCTTGCGGCATGTGCGGGACATTTCCCTTATGCAAAGCTTTGTGCTCCTCGATTTCCCTCTATTATGACAATGAATTATTCATAAAGCAATAAATAGTTGAAAGTTGGCGTCTCAGTTTATGTTTCCAAGGTTGAACGAAACCAGGAAAAGAGCTGAAAATGACAATCACCATCTTGAGGTTTTCACGGATTCGTGTTCAAATTCAGCATTTCAAACACAATTATACGTTTGAATAGCCAAAAGAATATTGAAAAGTGAACAGCAGTACAATTCCTTTTTCATCATAAAAAAAACCGGTTAAATGCTTTCTTTATACAAATGTTTTACAGTACTTGCTCAAGTCTAGCATCCTGCACAGATATGTGGTTGCGTAAGTAATCTTGACTTGAAGGCTTGTTATTGACGATTTACTTTGAGATATTTCACATAGAACCACGAAGAGTCGAAATGTTCGACGTTATCTCATGTGTTTGTAACACGTGAAAAGGGACGCCGTTGCTTAACGTAAAGTGATTTAGTTCGCAAAATGAGAAGGATTGCAGAAAAATGGAGTGCCCCTTTCATTGAATAACTTGATTTCCCACGATTCATTTTTTAAATAAGATTCACGCATTTTCGAAAATAACTAGTTTAATTTTGCAGTGTATTAAAAAACAGGAACGGGAAGTTCTCAGATCACGAATGCAGAACCTTCGAAAGAAAAAAATATAGATGTTATGCCATGTATACCTTGAATTCATCTGTAAGCTCTGGCGAAAGTTCCTTTGCAGCTTTCATCAGGCGACGAAATTTCGGTACAAAAGTGATTAGTGATGGAAAAAACTGCGCAGGACCGAGTTGGTTGACGTATTCACCAAATTTCCGACGATTTTGGATCATTCGAATCGCCTTTTCGTCAGTCAGACTCGTCTGCTTGTCTATTTCAGACATTTTACTTTTATTAAACGCTTAGAATCCCTCCAGTTTTTAATAAGCTGCACTGACTTGTGGCAAGTTTCCATACAATATTGAGCACGGCAACGTCTAATCGTCCGTCAATAGCCATCGGCTTCCCAAGATTGTTGGCTTTGTAGGAATCAATCAACGAAACAACCTCGTTGGCAACCAATGTTTCCAGACTTGCCCGCCCAACACCAAAGGATTTCAAACTTTTCATAACAAACGTGCGATTCTCGTGCCAAATCTTGCTGTTTCCAACCAGTCCTTAAAAGATAATTATTCCGCGTGCCCATCCAGCCAAGAGTCTCTTCCCCACTCAGTCACTAACCTTTTCCTGTGGCAGAAATTACATCCAGCAAGAGGAAATGAGGTCGATCAATGAACGCCATCATTGATAATCCTTCAGACACAGCGTCGCAGTCATTAAGAATTATTTGCAGGGTTCCACAGAGGTTCACAGACATCACAGGACCGTATTTACGACTCAAACTTGTGTAGTTTTCCCAAGGGGCAATCGGGTCCATCCACGGAATATAACCGATAAGTGGAACACCCCAAGGTCCTGATTAAAAATTTATTCGGCATCAATTTCATATCCCAGAATTCATAAAACAAGAAACGTCTCACCCGGGGGCATTTTGGTCCATCGCCACAACAACCGAATGAAATAAGTAAGCAAGAGCACGAGGACACTGGTTAGCAGTAGACCAGTTACGGCCATTATATGAATCGAATGCTCCAAGTAAATCTCGTTTTGCATATAATGCTATTTTGATCCAAGTGTGTTGACTCGTTACCCGATTGAACTGAACTAAAGAACCTGCATTGAGACTGCAAGAGATGGCGCCTATACATCATCCGTCAATCTCCGTGTTTTTGACGATAAGCAATCTCACGTAAACATGCTTCAGTCGCGCTTGAAGAACTTATAGTGACTTTCATATGTGTGATATTCAGATTGATTTTACGCTCGATTTTGCAAAGCGATACAGCTTTAAATCTGAAGTAGAGGTGCTCCAGTCATGAGGGGCCAATACGAGTGAAAACCCCTGGTTGGTCGGAACTAGTGAACTTCATTAAACAGCATTAAAAAAAATATATATATATGCGGATTTAATGGATATATTTTCTCGCGTAGCATCTCCCTCATGGCCAGGGTACCACACCAATAATGCAGCTAGGGCCATCAAATGTTCCTATTTGAACAAGACTTAGATGGAATTTAATACATTATTTTATATTGACGAGGTAACGAAGACAGTCGTTTGAGGTATGTAAATATTTTTTAATACTCTGAAATTGTCGTGCAATCATTGATCCAATACTAGTGATCAACTGCGGATTTTTTATTCGATGCGAATTGTGGAATCACCTGAATCGGCCGAACAGGAAGTCTCTTCTGGATACCCTAACCAGAGATACGATAAAAACGTCGCTAACAATCATAAAAAACGAAGTACTGTGCATGTTTTATTTTAAAAAATTTGCAATTCAAATGAGATATCAGCGATTCAGCGCTCAGTGAGAATGATTTCAAAAGGACCAGGTCTACGGGCAATCGGATCGCCATGATCTGCCTTCATACTTGGGACGAAACCTTCGGGAAATTCAATGTTGAAATTCGCTAACAAATACGAGATGAAGATGAATAACTCCATGTATGCCAGTTGTTCTCCAACACATCGTCGCTTCCCTGAGAAACCGGGCAATTTTGAGTAAGTTCTGGCAATCATGACCAAACGATGTTTTACCTGTTCCAAATGGCAGGAAACTTGGGTTCGGTTTCTTGATTAATACACCCGAATCCAAAAATCGCTTAGGTTCAAATGCCTCGGGATTCGTCCACTGTTTTGGGTCACGGTGAACAGCATTCAGATTTGGAACAATCCAAGATCCCTTTTCGAAATCCAAAAAAATTGCAGCGCTTACACGAAAGTTCTATGTACACATATTTTTTAGAAGTCCCGTATATGGTGAACACATTTTTCTGAAAGCCGTGTCCAGGACAAAAGTTGTATTTAATGTTAGAAGATATGTTTTGAATGTTGAGCTTTATGAACTTCAATTTGAATTCAGTGCATGAGAAATTTGGGGGCACAATTTTAAAAAATCCATAAGCATAAGAATTCCAGGGTTCTCTCGCACTTTTGATGGGTACAGTACTTTTATTTTCAATTGAAGAAAATAACTTATTGTCACCCCGGAATACAGAAAATCCGAAATGTATACCCCAAACTTGAGTGAAATCGGGAAACTAAACCAAGCACTTCCACCTTTCCGGGAACCTGAAAGAAATTCTACTGCAATAAATCGACAGGTTTTAATGATCACCTTTGGTATCAAGTATCCCCGGAATTCTGTGTCTGCTGAGGCTAAATGAGGAACTCCCAGGGGAACAATGTCGGCAAATCTCTGAATTTCCCTCACAGTTGCTTCCAAATATGGTAGCCTGCAATTTTAAGCAGGAAGTATGCTTCATGAATCACAACTTCACAATTTGAAGAAAAAAATGTTGTGGAAGTACCTCGGTTTATCGTGTTCCCAGGACGGTAGTCGATCTCTCCCGACAACTTCATCCAATTGCTCTTGGCATTTATTTTGCACATCACGATATTGGGCCAGCAAAATAAACGAGTAACGCAGTGTTGTAGCAACCGTCTCAGTCCCAGCAGCGAACAGTGCAGTGATAACCGCCGACAGGTGTTCATCTGATGCACCAAGAACTTCAGTTCTTTCTTTTTCTTTCAAAGCCAACTTGCAAAATTAATGAATACCTGAGAAAGCTTCGGCGTCCTGAGGATTTTTAGCCCCTCGCATAATCCGCTCAGCAATATAATCATCAGCTATATCTTGCGGCATGTGCGGGATATTCCCTTGATGTAAAGCGTTGTGCTCCTCAATTTCCTTCTATTTTTTTCAATGGAAAATTCTGCGGTGAGCGATCTCCTTTTCTAAGAGATTGATGACAAAGCTTGAAGTTTTTCCGTTCTTTAGAAGCGTATTTCCATTTGAATTACACTTTTGGACGACTATGATAAGAGGCGTGCAAAGATTATTGATTAAATAATGACGGTGAAATTTAAATTTTGTTGCAACTATTGAATATAAAATGAGAATAATTCTCAAGAATGTCCATCGAAACATAAAATATGCTGCATATTCGCCGGAAAATTGATGCATGATACAGTTCAGTGGATATAATGATGAAAATGTAAGTTTGTGAGTCCAGGACTGATGTTAAACGTCAGGAAAATATTTTTATTATATTTTTTACGGGGGAAAATATTTGAGCTGAACGAGAACCCACTTATTTTACTAGAATTGGATATGTTCTCCGTCTTCTGAACACCTTTATAAATGTATTTACAAAGCTTGCATTGTTTTTTCACGTTTGAAAAATGCATAGCTTGCAGTGTAGAAACATGAATGCTTTTAAAATCAACAAGGTAAGTTTGATTACATGTTCGTTATATTGTATCTTCAAAACTTTTCTTTTACACTGCTTCCAAGCACGTACGAAGCAACTCTTTTCCATAAGGAACGTTGCAAGTAATTGAAGTCTCCCCGATTTTTCATTGAAGGGGTAAAACCGAAAGGAACGAAATGATTTATCTAATTTTTGGAATTTTTCAATGAATCATGTTTTTCTTTTTTCTAAATCTGGAACTGCAAGGAATCTATCCATCACGCCGGATGAATGAATTTGAAGTTAGTGCAGCTCCTATACCCTGAACTAGAGGAAATGTTCGAGGCTTCTGAAAAATCATACATGATCGTATCATGTACTACATTTATTTTCTGAATCATATTTGAACTAGAAGCTCTTTGCTCTGGAACACCATCCATTTCAAAACCTAAAAATGTTTCGTTACCTTGAATTCATCTGTAAGCTCTGGTGAAAGATCCTTTGCAGCTTTCATCAGGTGACGAAATTTCGGTACAAAAGTTATTAGTGATGGCAAAAACTGCGCAGGACCCAGTTGGTTGACGTAATCACCAAATTTCCGTCGCTTCTGGATCATTCGAATCGCCTTTTCATCAGTCAGACTTGTCTGTTTGTCTAATTCGAATACGTCATATGATCAGCCATATGATTCTACTAGATCCTGGTAATCTTCACTAACTTGTGGCAAGTTTCCAAACAATATTGAGCACGGCAACGTCTAATCGTCCGTCAATAGCCATCGGCTTCCCAAGATTGTTGGCTTTGTATGAATCAATCAACGAAACAACCTCGTTGGCAACCAATGTTTCCAGACTCACTCGCCCAACACCAAAGGATTTCAAGCTTTTCAACACGAAGGTCCGATTCTCGTGCCAAATCTTGCTGTTTCCAACAAACCCTTCAGGTGAGATTCTTTCTTCGTTTTCATCATGCCCAAGTTATCCCCAATCACTGAAACAAACCTTTTCCCGTAACCGAAAGCACTTCAAATAGTAGAAAATGAGGTCGGTCGATAAATGCCATCATTGATAATGCTTCAGACACAGCTTCGCAGTCGCTGAGAATTATTTGCGGCGTCCCACAGAAGTTCACGGACATTACTGGACCATATTTACGACTCAAAGTTGTGTAAGTTTCCCAAGGGAAAATCGGGTTCACCCAGGGAATGTAACCAATCAGAGGAACTCCCCAGGGTCCTGTTTTCAAATATAATTCGAATCAATCGAAATCACATGGAATCCTAAAATAATGATGTACTCACCGGGTGGCATTCTCTGCCATCGCCACAGCAATCGAAGGGAAAAGGTAAGAAAAAGCACAAGAACACTTGCTAATAGTAAACCGGTTAGGGCCATTCTTGCTTCACTGTAAAAAAAAATCCTCAAATGTGGTACTTTTTTTAATCTACTGTAATTTCTTTTCGTTCGTTCTTGGGATTTGAACGTGTTCCCACAAGGAGATGAAATGAACAGCCTTCTGCCTCGGGACTTCAAGCAAGAACTTGCGCAATCGCAGTTGCGCCATGCACTCAAGTGTATAATGCGCTTCTATCTGTAAGTGTTCGCGAGTTTCGTCGCAATACAAATTTTTACTGGGGAGAGGACGCCACAATCAGCAAAATACATTGCTCTAAATTTGCACATCTTCTTTCACAAAAATTACATTGTAACTCTGACATGCGATCTGCAAAATAAATGCTATATAAAGATTGAAAATAAGGTCAGTTCGTACAGTATATGCCAAGGTCGACATGACCTGCGCGTTTACCTCGGAGAGAGCAAGTTCAGAAAAAAAACTTGATTCAGTAATCCTGACAGGATGATATTACAGGCACAATTCAGAGAAGCGCAAATTTTTTATTTGACTGCAAGGGTAGTTTTTCGGTAATTATCCGATTTACAATGTAATCACACCTGTAACCTATACGCGAGAAATGCTGAGAGGGATGTTCTGATTTAAATGAATGAAAATCAGATTTAAATTTCATGATTGCAGAAATAAACAAGTATTCGAGTTAAGTTAAGAAATTAATACTGTAGTTTAAGTTACGCATTTCTGTAGTTCATTAGCCCTTGATTTTAAACCTAACTATGCAGGTTAAACCTTTTCTGAGGCAGCGTCAGGTTGAAAAAATTGGGGAAAACTCTGGATTCTTGCTATTTTAGAACAGCACACAGAGCTTTTAACGTCACACCAGGAAAAAGAGCTTCACTTCATCCGACATCGTCTCTTTAATAAAATTTTCCACGCACCGAAAGGAACAAAGAGTCATTTATTTTTTACTGATTGTAAGCAACGATTGTTTTCGTATCGGTTAATACATCTTTAAAAACGAAATTGCTGGAGAATACAATGCATGGTCGTCCGAAATAGGCAACCGTAACAAAGTGAATTACGCGCGGTCAGTAAGAATGACACGAAACGGGGCAGGTCGTCGGGTAATCGGGTCACCAACCAAATAAAACTACAGGCCAAGCTTGGGTAGCCCCTTCAACTGTAACTTGTACCTGTCGTCCATGCGTTATACATTCTTATTAAGGTACATTCGGTTTACAAGAGGGTCTGTAGCCGCAAAAGGACCAAGAATCGTTATCCTTCATCATACGAATACCAACAACAACAACGTTCAGTTACGTAACCCACCGGCCCCAAAAGGCAAGAAACTCGGGATGTGCTTCTTCAAACTTTCGCCACTTTCATCCAAGAATCGAGTTGGGTCAAATTTCTCAGGGTTCGGCCAATATTTCGGGTCTCTATGGCAAGCATTAATATTTGAGACGATCCATGCTCCCTGAATAATAACACATTTAAATTTTGAGTAAGAATTTTGAAAACTCGTTTCCGAAACGTGCCTTGGGAATGAGATAGCCTCTGAATTCCGTATCACACACAGCAGCATGTGGAACCCCAAGTGGTGTGATGTCAGCACAACGCTGAATTTCTCTAACGACAGCTTCAACATATGGAAGCCTGAATACAGTTTGATTAGACTAAATAATATTCACACCACCGCATGTTTTTAATATGAAATGAAAGTTGCCTTGGCTTGTCATGATCCCATGAAGGCAGTCGTCCTTTCCCTACCACGGAATCGAGTTGTTCTTGGCACTTTTTCTGCACATCTTGGTGCTTGGCCAAGTATATGAATNTCGTCCGAAATAGGCAACCGTAACAAAGTGAATTACGCGCGGTCAGTAAGAATGACACGAAACGGGGCAGGTCGTCGGGTAATCGGGTCACCATGGTTTATTTTGATGTCCGGTTCGAACCCATCGGGGAAGTTGACATTGAACATGGACAGCAGGTACGCAATATGTAAGAATAATTCCATGTAAGCCAAATGTTCTCCCAGACATCGGCGTTTTCCTGTAAGAATCGTTATGCTTCATCATAAGAATACCAACAACAACGACGTTCAGTTACGTAACCCACCGGCCCCAAAAGGCAAGAAACTCGGGATGTGCTTCTTCAAACTTTCGCCACTTTCATCCAAGAATCGAGTTGGGTCAAATTTCTCAGGGTTCGGCCAATATTTTGGGTCTCGATGGCAAGCATTGATATTCGAGACGATCCATGCTCCCTGAATAATAACACATTTAAATTTTGAGTAAGAATTTCGAAAACTCGTTTCCTAAACGTGCCTTGGGAATGAGATAGCCTCTGAATTCCGTATCACATACAGCAGCATGTGGAACCCCAAGTGGTGTGATGTCGGCACAACGCTGAATTTCTCTAACGACAGCTTCAACATATGGAAGCCTGAATACAGTTTGATTAGACTAAATAATATTCACACCACCGCATGTTCTCAATATGAAATGAAAGTTGCCTTGGCTTGTCATGATCCCATGAAGGCAGTCGTCCTTTCCCTACCACGGAATCGAGTTGTTCTTGGCACTTTTTCTGCACATCTTGGTGCTTGGCCAAGTATATGAATGCGTATCGCAAGGTAGTTGCTGTCGTGTCTGTTCCGGCAGCAAAGAGTGCAGTGATTACTGCGATGAGATGCTCGTCTGAATTAGAAAAAACAAAAAAATTCAACTAACAGTTTACAGTATCATGTAGAAATTATTCTGCCATACCTGCGAAAGATTCAGCGTTTTCAGGGTTCACGTTTTCTCGCTTTTTTCGCTCGTTTAGGTAGTCATCAACTAGATCCTGTGGTACCTCAGATGCGGCCTCCTTGAATAATCTTTTATGTTCCTCAACTTCTCTCTGATAAAAATAATTCAGTTGAACATCAAGGGAGAAGGTCTCGATAGAGCAGGTTTTTTAAGAGATAATCTTGAAAAAAATGCGATCGGTGAAGAGCACGCATCTAAAGAATTAGAGTGTTAAGAAAAAACCTGAACGGATAAGTTCCAAAGAAATAAAATACCAGAAGGCGAAAGTATAGGTTGATCGACGGAAATGTGGCTCATTCTCCTTCTTAAAATTTTGTTTTACAATCGCGGCCTGCTGCTTTGTAATTTTATCAGATACTGTATCTTTCAATGTACATTTCAACTTGACTTTAGGTCATACCTGAAATTCTCGAGATACTTCCGGAGCTTCAGCTCGAACTTGGTCCATTATTCGACGGTATTTTGGCACGAGCTTAAAAAGGATTGGGAAAAACTGAGCTGGACCGAGTTGGTTGACGTAATCCCCAAATTTCCGCAGCAAGTCAATCATCTTTTGCGCCTTTTCATCATCAAGGCTTGTTTGCCTATCTACTCGAAACCAATAAACTTGCACGAAAATTTGGCTGTTATGATTTTTGTGGGACACATACTGGTGGAGATTTTCCAAACGACATTCATGACCGCGACGTCTAATCTCCCGTCAATTTCCATTGGTTTCCCGAGATTTTTCTCTCGGTATGATTCGAGAAGTGACAGAACTTCGTGAGCAACTACGGATTCCATGCTGGACCTTCCAACACCGAAATATTTCAGGCTCTTAACAAGGAAAGAGCGGTTGTCATGCCACACCTTCTGTGGGGCATTGAGTCCTGCAATGAATTAATTATTTCTACCTGCTCAAACGCGATCCCATCAGCTGCCTTAAAAAAAATGTTCTGACCTTTTTGGTTTGCTGATGTTGTTTCGAAAAGAATAAACCGCGGGCGATCGTTCAAAACTGTCATGGAAAAGGCCTCAGAAATGGCTTCCCAATCATTTAAAACAATCTGCTGAGCCCCACAGAAGTTTACCGACATCACTGGGCCATATTTCTTGCCAAGTTTCGTCAGGGTCTCCCATGGGGAAATGGGGTCGACCCAAGGAATGTACCCGANGTTGTTTCGAAAAGAATAAACCGCGGGCGATCGTTCAAAACTGTCATGGAAAAGGCCTCAGAAATTGCTTCCCAATCATTTAAAACAATCTGCTGAGCCCCACAGAAGTTTACCGACATCACTGGGCCATATTTCTTGCCAAGTTTCGTCAGGGTCTCCCATGGGGAAATGGGGTCGACCCAAGGAATGTACCCGAGAATTGGAATGCCCCATGGTCCTGTGGAACCACAAGTTTATTCTGCAGCACGTCCCGTGTAAGAATTATAATTCGAAGCAACTCACCAGGTGGCATCTTCAGCCATCTCCGAAATTTCTGGAAAAGAATAGTTGCAGCCAGCAGGCCGGCCACTGTCACTAGCATGCCCGAAATTAACATGATCGAAGCGAAACCTGATCTTTTCGTGCGAATGAATAAAATAATTCACATCGATTTTTCACTGAATAATTGGGAACCCGATAATCCGGCAATGTTTCCCGGACCAACACTGAGTTGGCTGTGTGTCCTGGACCATGCGCTTCACACATGGGTGCCTTCGCATAAACAGGGGAGCAACTCCTCCCGAGATGAAAGATAAGCAGAAGATGAACATTACGTAATCCAAGTATGCTATGTTATGATGACGTTTGCGATATTGAGAACCGAACAAGCTCGGGTGGCAACTGAAGCGTCGTATATTAGCCATACGTTTGAAAAATTAGTACGTCCTTCGATTGTAAGTGCCCGTGATATTTTCTTCAGCTTACTCGAAACTTCTCGATTTTCTAGACTCTTTATTCAACCCATTGGTTGTGTCTGCATAAGGGTGAAAGGTTCGCCAACCGAGAGAAAGGAAATTCAGAGCGGGAAAAGAATTTCTGCCGATCAGCATTTGCGTCCACTTTCGATTCAGTGGCATGCTTGCAGAGTTGCTGTTTGCTTATTTGTCGTTCTTTAACCATCAATGCAGAACTGACGAAAACAATTCAATTGAAATCAGCTGGCTATTTAATATAGAGAATTCTGCAGATATTGAAAAAATCACATTTGCCGTTCAACCGTTTTTCCAAACAGTAATAATGTATTATGTATTTGAAAGATAAAGCCTGAAGCAAGTGTCGTTGGTCTATTGTTTTATAATAAAAAAATGGAGCGTCATCATGTCAATGCGTACGGTCGCTGAAACACATAATATTCCAGAAGAAGATGATGCCTATCTCAGATGTATACTAGCTAGCGCTTGCAACCAGTTAGATAGAATACTTTTAGGAAATACCACGTACAGTATTATTTTGCGATTTTAAAAGAGAAAAACATTGAAATAAGAGCGGATCACTTTCGGGATAATGTTACAGACCTCTGATCACCATACGGCTAATGGTCGCATACTTTTGCTCCTATCATGTAATGTACAGCATAACTTTAGTTAACCGGGCTAATGACTGGGCCACCTTGCGTGTGAAAGGACATATATTAGATAGTAAAATATTCTTGGGAGATGTTATGCAGAAAACCGAAAAATGACCATCAAATAATCATTACAGACGTACACCTAAAAATAGAACTGAGTTAGTCCGAGTTTTTAATTTGATCAGAGGAAAATAAAACAGCTCGAGCTATAATTATTCAAATGCAGGCCAATATGCTTTCATTTGATTGTATGGAATTCGGACACGATTAATTTGATGCCTAGTTAGTCGGAGGCTGAATATCGGAATTATACTGTATAACGAGAGAACACTCATTTCGCGATTAGAAACAATGAAATACCAACAAAAATTATTTAAGACAGATTGGGATTTTTTTGTAAATCTCAGCACAAAATTAAAATTAAGCTAAAGAAAATGCAGTGAATCAAATTGAAATGTCGTTTGCCGCTTTCTTTATTCTCGTTGCGGTGAAGTTTGACATAATTTAAGCGTGGATATAATCGGAGCTTAAATGTATTTCCACGCAGTAGTTCAGGGAAAATTCGGTTTCTTCCAAATCTTCCCTGGATTAATATTTTTGAGAAGTATTTTTCAGTAAACATACAAACAAAGAAGAAAATCAGCAGTACAGTATAAATATTGTATAAGCTAATGAATGATTTATGCATTTCAAGTAATGCCAGCAGCATTAATGTTTATGGATTACAGCTGTATACATTGGGACCCCGAGATGCGGACGTAATCGGTGCTTGTACCTTGTCCCTATGCCAGAACGTCCAAGTACACGTCAGGTCACGTTTCCTCTTCAATTTAATTTGTTTTCCTATAGACAAAATATTTAGAAGGAAGCCTCCCGACAACTTTAATTAAATCATTTTTCTCGACTTCAAAATGCAGACGATAACATTGCAGAAAAAATCTGATATTTTGGCATGAGCAAGGCCCAAAAGGCAATAAAAATATTACAAGTCTTTCTATATGAGACCTATACTGTGCTTAGACAATTTAAAGGAACTCTAAAATAACGAGGCACAGAAGCAGCTTGTTTTGGATTATGGGTTGCAGTGAATTTATAAAATTATTTTTCGATTTTGAGAATGTAAAAAGCCCAATTTGTTCGAGATATCAATAAAAAAAAAGCTATCGTTTGTCATAAAAAAAATTTAGTTCAATGTCCACTTCTCGAAACAGTGCCCGGACGTCGGGGCAGATGTGCAGTCAATTGTCCCGAAAGCCGAATTGTCCGTATGTTCGGCGATTTCGCATGCACTGGGTATTCACTTGGTACAGAGACGTTCAACCCAGAAAATTCGGGGTCTTTTCCCGTGAGCATTCACTACGGAAAATCCCCTTGCGCCTTCCGAGTAAATATGGTAACGTTCTGAGAATGCAACGTTGTGGCGACGCTCAGCGTAGCGGGAGGTCAACTCGTAGAATTCAGCCACAGCATTTCGCTGCATTTTTCCGCCACTCCCGAAACTCGCAGTGCATCGAAGAAGCTCCATCAACTTCCAACTTGCACCTTCCCGCTTCATCGTTACTGTTGCAAGCTATAGCTGCTTAAACGATCAATTTCAAATAATTGAAATTTATTTATGTAGCTTCTTTATCCGGGTTATGGATGAGAAGATTCTTCCAATTGTTTGTAAGTAATATGCCATTCACGAAGTTGCTCTATTTGGCTCAGTTCCAAACTGCGTCAACAACCACCTCTAAACGCAGCATTGATATTGTCCAGGCGGAAAAAGCTAACGCTGCTACTTCCAAGCAATACGCCTATCGATTCCTAGGCAAGGTTCGGTTTCCGTATAGGACTGATGGACTTCGTTCATCCCTGAACTTTCTGCTGTGAAAAATATATTTGTCGCATATACAGAATATTTTCTCGGCGGAGTACACAGTGCTCCATGGACTTGCAAAGTGCATTAATTAAAAAAATATGCCAGTGATGAATATACGGAATAATATAAACGAAGCCCACGTTTTCCTGTGAACTTCACAATATTTGAAAATAATTCTGAAAACGTCAAGGGCGTGACTCAAGAGCTCTATGGTAGAAATACAGGATGTTCTAACAAGCATTCCTCCAGGAAAAGTTCAGAGGGTTGTCCCGCCCAAGAAGTTCAAAAAATTCCATTGTTCACAGATTTTCTTGGACTCATAAACGAACAACTATCCCCGCGAAAAGACGGAGTCACGGCCACTCATTTCCTTGTCGTCAGATTTTGCTTGAATTCGCCGGTCTTCCATTTGCGATGGTCGGATAGAAACCCCTGGAAAATGACACTGGACAAGATAGCGAGGCCTCGCAATGTTCAGAAGCTCAGGCTGGCCGTACGGAGCCGAATTCTTGTATCAGAGAATTCATGCCCACACAGCGACAAAAAATCCACGAATATTCCAACATATCGGAAAAAGTTCCTCAGCCACTTGAATTGCAAGTAGGTGTTTTCTATGGGTAATATTGACTCGCGTTATTTGTATATCATCGAAAGGCATTATCAAGTTTTCTTTTCGTTCAACGGGAACCTAGGATAGCATGTTTTCTTTTCAGGACGCTGAAACGAACGTTGAAACGATAATTGCGTTTAAAATTCTTCAAGAAACAAATGCTTGCCAGATTTTTCAATCAAATCTAGTCTGCAGTCAGTTTATTTTCTCGCGTGTCGTTTTATTCCCAAATTTCCTGAAGAAAACTAGTGAGGATATAAGTTTGACGCGCGATTCGTAATTATCTCAAGGCATTCGTTGCTGGGAGTAAGGCGAACGACCTGCTGAAGTTTCTCAAGGCATTCATCCACTCTCGGATTGCCTTAACTATGCAGACGTGGCCGACCGACCTTTCAAAATCCAGAAATAATGTCCGAGCCTTCGCTACCGTAGCCAAGGCTCATAGCGTGGAAGCTTTGCTTTTCCGAACGTTTCAAGACCTCCCGAAAACGAAAAATAATGTGACCAGGCACCAGACATCCTTGGTCAGAACTATTCAAGGCGGTTGGACTCTTTCAACAACCAAATTCAAGCGAGTATTAAAGATTCGCTGTAGAGATAAAGTCGTGGTGGAACACCCTTTTAAGTAAAAAAAAAAAAAAATGTGCCCTACGACAGGGCAAATCGTTCGTTGTACGCAATATTGTTGTAGAGAGGGAGTTTGTACCAGTATAAACCATATCATGCAGATGCTCGCGTCAAGAGATGTAACCTGAGAAAATGCCGGCATGAAAATAATGACCGCATCGAGAAAATCCCCAAGAAAAAATAAATAAACGTGGATCCCTGAAAATCAGTCACGCAAAGAAAAATTTTTTTTACAGAAAATTGCGCGTAACGTACAAAAATTATTGCCAGGAATTTTTCACTTTATGACAAAAATAAAATAATCATAATACTGCATGAAAATGGTAACAATATGCATTCAATAGTTTTTATTGATTAAAAAACAGGAGAAAAATTACATCTATGCTTGAGCTAGAATTTCTTTGTGGTGTCGAGAATTAACAAAATGTTCTGTATTTCTTTTGAATATATAATTCCGCCCAAGGCAGCATGAAGAAAAAAATGAAGCAATGGGAATCCCACATTTTACCTTGCTGTGTTTCCTCTGTAAAGTCTATACGGCGCTTACTCCTGAAAGTCCTCGCCCATCAAAAGGGGTTTTCTTCGGATTTGAGGATTAGAGTAACACCCGTATTATTACATATGCAATGAACGAATTTGGTGAAACTGACCTAATTTTTGATAATGGAAAGAGAGGAAACAAAGCAAACTACGCGTACCATCTTTAATAATCTTTAAACACTTGATTACTATTTCGCTTCATCAACTAATTATCCTGATTATTCCGTTTTGAAAGTAGGAGTAATATCATCAAGCATTTCAGTCTCGAAATGTATTTCAAATATGTTGAATACAAGTTTCCAGCATGTGATTATAACCGTGATATTTTATTGACCGGGTAAAGTTACTTTACCATTAACTCATTTATTCAGTGATCTTTAAAAAAAATCATACATTGCTCGCTTCATGTGTCAAATCTCCTGAAGAGCTTTTACACGCAGCAAAGATAAGTGATTTAAAATTGTTTACTGTGTAAATACATGTTTGGTAGAGCTAGCTTTTTTCTCTAAACGCGCAGCGAACACTGCATACATTTTTAGAATATCGTATCATTATTACCAAATGTTCGAACAATCAAAATTTGATTTTTCGACGTAATTTCAAAAGTTTTTCAGATGTTTTGCGTCGGTTCCTCGCAAAGAATACGATGTGTGATGAACGTAAGTATTCTAATTACAGTATTTGTATGGCATACTTCACTTTATTCAGTGCTGGCCTTGACGATCACAGCAAAACAAGAGAGTTGTGAGTCTTGGAAATCATGATTTGTGAGGCTTGTGAGGAAATGAGGAGTCGCTATGGCCATTGCGTGTCCATTCGGCAGATTATGTCTTGAAAGTTTTATGATCCAGGAAAATGGATACAAATCTTCAATATACAATACTACAGAATCATAAGCAATTTTTAATAATTATTGGGGCCGTTCGGAACGGTCCGGGTGAAGCGCCACACGAATTTTATTAACTTTGTTTTTCGCTCCAACCAGGTGTCACTGCTACCTGCAGAAAATGCTGGTGGCATTCCACTGGGTTCAACAGAAATTGATTGTCGATGGAATTCCAGACGTCACGTGCGATGAATAAATGAGAACATTTTGCGAAACAACCCATTAACTTTAATCCGGAACGACGCCAGCAAAAGCAACAAAAAAGCGCAAGAATGTATCTCCATACCGGTACATAAATCACCCATTCGGCGAGAAATTCCTATAATAATAGAGTCACGGTCCACGGATGACGCGGTGAAACCATCATCCATCCTCAAATTTTGCTAAATTACATCCTTCGATCAAGTCCAGTGGTAAAAAAGTTTGATTAACAACTCTCAACGGCTCCCAGTTTCAGCAAGCCAGCAACAGAATGCTCCGATTGACCCGTCGACAAACCAAAAAAAAAAAAAAAAATCGAACAGTCAGAAGGAAACTGGGCTGAATGTGGATCCTTCACAACGAAATGCGCTCGACGCAACACCTTTTGAGCACCGATTTCACCGCAATGTGATAACTAAACGTCAAGCTCGACAAACGCATTTTGGCTTGTCTCTCTGAACTGCAGGATTTCAAATCAAAGTCTGGAACATGTGGGAAAATTTTCCGGATTCGCTCGAATCGAATCCTTCTTTTCAAATCATGATCAACAAGAACGTAGTACAGTATATAAGTCTCTAGGAGTCTAGGTCATCCTTGCCCAAACCAATATAGGGATCACGTGGAACATTTATTCCGGTTTCATTCCTCGCATATTTATCGAAAACTCATGAAGTCAATAAGACACAAGTCAGTAATACTTTTCGGCTATGAGACAAAAATAATTAAGACCTCGTGGTTGAAAAGTTGATCTTGTTCTAGAACAGTGGAACCGAAAACGACCTTTTTGCCATACAATTTCGCTCAGAATAAATCACACGCGTAAATTACTTCAAGGAAATTATGAAATTCGACTAGGTTAACCCCGTTGAGAGCTTTACGCAGAATGGGCTCCTATGAATGTAATTAAAACGTTTTTCTGTATTTTTTCGTCTATTTCGGGACTGTCGCTGATTCGGGTGTGTAAATTTCACGATGCGTTGCTTTGAAACCCGCTCAACCGCAACGACGCTCGTGCATAACTAATAATTATCGTCAATTTACTCTTCGTTGTCGCGCTGGACGTAAACATCCACGGAAAACTCACTTACACATGTTCCATACTCCTTTTCCTTCTTTTTTTTTTTACCATATAAGTTAAAATACGGGAGTAAAGAGAGCTCAGAAGGGTTTTGTGCCATCACGATTAGCGCTTCGACAGGCGAGAGCGTTCCATGTCCTTGGCTTCCTTGAGAGCCAACCAGTGTCTCCGGTTGCTCTCGACGCCTTTGCGCAGGGACTGCATCTTGTCGGAGATCTGACCCAGGGCTTGGTACACAGGCAGGCATATGGAATCGATAAAGTCTACTTGCATTGAAGGCAGCTCACTTTTCTTCTCCCGATTCATCATATCCTGCCGACAACAATATTTTTATTAATACAAATCTCGAATGCGATTCAGATACAGTCGAACTTATATAAGCCGCCCTCGGGTGTTCGTGAGGTTTGCGGTGGTTTAATGGGGTTGGCGATTTAAAGGCGGTTGATGGTTTATCAAAGAGATTGAATAGTAGGTAAATCGAGCATAAAATAAAATCTTCTAGAAAACAATCGAAATAACCCTCGGATGCGTAAGCTGTATCCAATTAACGTTCCGAAGAAGTAAATCATGTCATCTTCGCGTTTTTTTGATTTTTATTTTAGACCTCTCACAGAAATTTTAATCTTTTGGGCGGCCTTTTGAAGAAATAATTAATTGGCAAAAGCATACTTGAACAGTTAATTATTTTGCTGGATGACTTTTCAACGGGGTTTCCAACCCTATATTGTCATTAGGGATGCTTTTTTTCATTAATTGGCGGTTGTCAAGGGTCAGGGCTTTTCGGGAGGTGGTTTACTTTGGTTTGACTGTACCATGCTGCCGTGTTGAAATACTGCAAAGTATGACCTGCGCTTGATTTTCTGCCAATAAATTTAATCGATTGTACCGAATATAATCAACAAGAAATTTTCACTCAGCAAAAATATCGAAGGTGATGATATACGCAGCTAGTGTTGAAAAGCTAATGTGCTGCAAAAAAATCTTTGTTGATGCGTTTTAAATATTTAGTAAATTAAGATCAGACGATTGTGACACATCATAAAGACTCTATTGAGGAAAATGCACAAAAATCGGTCTTACCCATTTTTAGCTAGAATTTTTCAGACTGTTTCCGCAATCCTGAATATGCCTATATCTGACCACGCAAAAACTCTCATTCAATTATTAGAGAGTGTATCGTCCTCGAATGTATTACGAATTCCTCAATGAGCTTCACAACTTTGTTGTACTATGGAATTTTTCTCGATTAATTTTGGTTTATATTCACGCTCGTTATTTAGTGGATCCTCTTATCTTCCTATATTGGACAAAACTGTTTTAATATAAGTAAGTACAAATGGAGAAAATCAGAGATCTGTATACTGAAATGAGTACAGCACACTCACGATAGGCGTGACGTTGAACTTCTCCTTCTCCAGATCACCTTGCTCGAAGAACTCACTTGCGACTAGTTCGGCCACCTGCAAGCGAATGAGCAATTAGTTCATAATTAGTCCGAGATAAATAAAAATAAGCCCGAAAAACAAGAACTCACTCTTCTTTGGACGGACCACGGCTTGGTAATTGCGGCAATATCGCATGCGGTCATTAGCATGCCGCGCAACATGTCGCGATGTTCTGGCACTGCCCAGTTCCACGATCCACTTTCCACCAGCCGGAAGAAGGCGCCTCGTTTCCGGAAGTAAACTGCGAGATCTGTGGCGAGTATGGCATCTTCCAGGCATTTAAGCACGATCCTGTATTGTTCCGGAGACAAGGATCGCAGGATCTCGTTTCCGACTGAGTTCAGGATCATCAAACACTGGTCGAAGTGGTGATGCTCCAAGGGTGAGGTCGAATAGAGCCGCGCCAGCGGGGATGATACTCTGCGGGATCCGAGGTCATCATATTTTCTCGCCTCGTTTGATTTACAAATGCTCGACACAAAAATCCTTCGGCCCGAAGTTCTTATCCTTGATGATACTTAGATTTTCATCATCGTCTAGAGCTCATTTGCGATTTTAAAAAAAAGTTCCCGATGACATGGAACTATAGTCATGAAACTTACTTGTACTGGAACGAGTTATTAGTGCCCCGGTGGTCCAGGTCATGTGATAAGCAACCAATCATCAGCGACAGACATTCTAGGTCTCCCAAGGACTTCCACAGCTGTGTTGACTGTTCGGAAAGAGAAAGAGCAATTATTATTTGTGATCCGTTCAACTTGCAAGAGTTTTTGAAGTTGGTTGTATAGAGTCGCAATTATTACACTCTTTCAGTCATTATTTTCCGATATTTAGGCGACACTTTTATCTTAAATCAGGTCTTTCAGAAACTCGAAAGTATTCCTTTGCATCATTTTATTTTCAGAAATAAAATTGCAGAAAACTGTGACATATTCCTGAAATAATCTTTCTTGTAACCTTCAGGCCTTTCTCCTAATATAAACTCAACCAAAAATTTAAAAATTAAGCCCGAAGTAAAATGGGGAAAATTGGATGAAGAATCATCATGAACTAAAATTTTATTCTGGTCCAGTGGATTTCGTACCTGTTGAGTGACAGACAATTAAAAAAATTATCTTAAATTTAAAGTCTCAGCATCCGTGATGAATTGAAGCTGTACTTGTTCACCTGGCAGAAAGTGAACATGATGTGAAAAAAGCGCTTGCGCATTCTTAAAAAGCACAAATTTATGGAACTCAAAATTCAAAAATGTATCCTAACTTTAACGTGTCAGCATTCGTATCGTGGCAAATTTTAGCTTTCGTTCACCCGGCAGAAAGAGTAAAACGTAATGCGAAAAAAAGCTGGTGCGCATTCTTCAAAAACCAAAATGGAACTCGGAAAATTTTTGGGAAAATACGGCACATATCAGGTCGTCGTTTCTATACTTCAGTATAAAAAAATAATATTTAGCCTTGATTGGAAGCAAGCATGAAAACAAGACAATATGGGACAAAAGATTATCAAACCGTCAGAATCGCGAACATCATCTGCGCCACGTTGAACGCGTGTCGCCAGTTGTGGTATGTTACAAGGCGATAATTTTTCCGCACGCTGAGAAGCCATCTTGTCAAAGTGACAAAGTCAATGTTGAACCGCTCCACCAAGTCCAGATCGATGAACATCCGTATACAGGCCTTAAGCGTATCCTCATCTGACAGCCCGAGATCATCGAAGTTATAGTCATACAACCGGTAATATTGACTTGACGGAATGATGTGCCGCTGGAAAAAGAGATAACGCAAGTGCGAGACAACGCACAAGAAAATTTCATAACAGGCATGGGAAACTGGGAACTCAATCGACGCATTTTCAATTAATTAATTTTCAAAACAATTTGATCCAATAAAAACATTAGACTGAGATACAACTCGTCATAGAAATCTGGAATTTCTAGGCTGAAATTTTAAAACTTTTTATCAAATGCTGTCGTGGAAATTCCAAACGTTTGTTTCAATAATTAACCCCAGATGTGCAAAAAATATGAACCAAAAAGTCATAAAACTTTCACACATTATTCCCATTTTTACTACAAACGAGCAAGCAAGTAGCATGCTCCTACATGCTGCTGAATTATGAATACAATACTTATTTTGGTTTCTTCAAAGGTTCTCAACAGTCTACTTGAACAGCTACCCTTACAGTCAATTAACTTTATTCGAAAGTTTTAATTTTTTGTATCCTTCAGGAACACCAGAATCTGACACAATCTCCATGCATGAGACTTTTCCCTAACCAAATTACGGTACTAATTGTCGTAGATTTTGTGGCCAACATTATATTTAGGAAGGTATTGGATATCAAATTCAAGCACATTTTCGTTCAGGAAGTCTTCTCAGTGCCGAAAATAAGTCATGTCTAGCAGGAAGACGAAATTTGTTTTCAAAGCAATTATAAATTTCCAAAAGGGCCACATTAAATTGAAAATTAATATTCTGATGTAAATACAGTATATTCCTGTTTCATACAAGTGCAATAAAAATGTGTGAGTGATTCGCAAGACTTTTGAGAAATCACTCGGATAAATGTTTTCAAGAGACTTTTTCTGATTAGTGTACCGTATTCACCTTTAGTTTCAAAGCCTCCTCGATTGGTGCAGTTGCGTGGTAACTAAGGACCTCCATCGTTACTTGGTGCTTAGCCATTGCAACGACGGCTCGCTCGTACCTAAAAAAAAA